AAAAAAAAAAAAAAAAAAAAGGGCCTGGCTCCACTCATCAGCACTTGCAGAAAAGAAAAACGGATGGCTTGTATGGTTCCAGTTTTTAGGAGAAGATTCATTCTAGTTTTGCACATACAGTAGGTGTCCCGTTTTTTTGTTTCTCCTTTTCTTACGTGCAGTGGCCCTATGGGCCTCGCTCCACTCATCAGCACTTGCAGAAAAGAAAAATGGATGGCTTGTATAGTTCCAGTTTCTAGGAGAAGATGCATTCTAGTTTTGCACATAAAGTAGCTGAGGTAACTTTCAGTCTCGATACATACATAGCGACCGGGCGTTCTATTTGGGTGAAGATGGTAGGAAACAGCAAGAGAGATGAAGGGAGGCTGGAGACAGAGAGAAGGTCCGAAAGCTCAGGTCAACAGGAGGGATCGATTGAGCGACGGAGGGAGGGGTACCAGGAGTGAAGGCAATAGTTTACGGACTGAGATATAATGACGGGATAGGAAGGAAGGAAGGAAGGAAGGAAGGAAGGAAAGAAGGAAGGAAGTAGATAGATAGACGGCGTACGCCGTACGGGCAGAGAGAGACGGGCAGCAACCAAGAAAGAGAGACAGAAACCCAGACAAACAGGTGCAAGGAACAAGCCCTCAAGGGGCCCTATCAGACATCACATGATCTGGGCTAAGGCCCCCAGAAAGCCGAGTGCCCGCCCTAAGTGAAGGCGGGTCTGAATATTCGTCAGAGGCAAAATTCGACATTTCCATATGTGGGTATTCAGGCTCTCGCAGCACGCTGGTTGGTTGGGTAGACGCGTGAGCCTCACAAAGCTGCGTCATACAGTTGGCCCAGGCCTTGACAGTTGCGCCTAGGCACATACACACAAAGCAGGGCCGATACATTGGGAAGCAGGCCATCGGCCTTTGCAAAAGCAGTACTCCCGACGCACCTGCCTGGGAGCCCTGCACAGATGAAGCAAACGGCCCAAGTCCGGAGACTCAGGCCGTGCCCAACTGAAAAGGGCCCAGGCCCTCAACTGTAGTCTCGGGCCTGGGCAAAGGGTCTGAGGCCCAACCGGAAGCTACTGGAAGCTTCCAGCTAGGCCACACGCAACATCCAGGAGGCTGCCACTTCCATAAAAGAAGTGAGGCAGCCCAGGCCAGGCATTCTGGCCAGTGCTGGCAATGCAGAAGTGCTGATGCGCTCTCGCGTGATGCTGCGCTGCTGTCAAAGGCGCTGACGGGGTGCGTAGTGGTGAGGAGGGGCGCTGCAGGGCAGCGGGGCGCAGGCAGCCATAGCCGGGCTGCTGAGCGCCAAGGGGTGCAGCGGGCGATCTGGTGGTCTTCAGGGAAGGAGGCGAGTGTGGGGTAATCAAGGTCTGATTGATGGTGACGAGATACGTACCTGGTGCATGAAGAGAGGTCGGGTATGAAGTTGACAGTCATGTACATTGGTCTTCGAGAGTCGAAGTGAGCCTGTTGCGTGAACCAGCTGTAGGTAGGATAGTCAGCCAGAGTAGGTTGGACGCAGGGCGCCAGACAGAGAGGAGTGACTTTGGATACTGTGTTGGTGTGGCCTATGGTCTTGAACATTGGCTCATTACTTCATTGTATTGCTCTACATGGATGGTTTCTTGGTGCATTTTGTACTCTCTGCTTGGATACGATTACGTGGACATCTGTGTGATTTCGCAACTTGGTTTTCTGTATATCGTTCACACTCATATTCCTTGCACAGGTCCCTGAAAATGGAGAAGAGACACCAGTCTCACTGGTGGACAAAGCGGGAAGAAGAAAAGTACTAGAGATTCGGGAGGTGACGGAGGCACAGACCGAAGGGGGCGCAAGAGAGGAGAACACAGGATGAGAAAGGGGAGTGCAGCTGGCATGGAGAGGTGAACAGAGCGGGAGGGTGGGGGTGGGGAGGGGTGGGGGGAACAGTGACAGTCAAAGTGGGAGGGAGGAGATCAATGGGGCAACTGGGAGTACAAGATCTACAGAGAGTGAGGAGGGGGCGACGAGAGGAGAATGGAGGCCCGCAGAGGGGAGGCAGGGGGAGGCACACGGAGTGGGAAGAACGGAAGAGAGATTTGCGAGACAACAAGGGGTGTAGACAGAGCCACAGAGGGACGGGACGGGGGGAGAGGAAAACAGAGGCAGGCAGAGGAGAGTGCAACTGGCACGTGGAGAGAGAGAGAGAGAGAGAGAGAGAGAGAGAGAGAGAGAGAGAGAGAGAGAGAGAGAGAGAGAGAGAGAGAGAGAGAGAGAGAGGAAACACCTGCAATCCATGAACAAAGAATGGCTGCGTCTCCGAGATAATCCGAAACTCAATATCCGAGACTGCAGTTCCTTTGACAATTGAGCTGGAATCCACAATGTAGTAGTGGGTTTTCTTCATGACCTAAACAGGAAAACAGATGAAGCACAGAAATTAGGACCAACTACGATTTTTTCAGCAGCTTGTGACCAAGTGCACTGTCCCATAAGCTTAACTTAGTGCGAACATTATCCAAATGTAGACCACGTTTATGTCAGTTCAGCACCACTGCAGTGCAACCACTTTCAGGGGACCGAGGACTTTTAGGACAGAAGCTGGACTTAGTTGCGGTGAGATAGATTCGTAAAATCACAAGTGTGAGTATGTCCACAGTCCTTACGCAGCCTGTACTTAACCCCCCCCCTTCCCCCCTCTGTTTCTGCTTGAGAAGAGAGCCTGTACTTAACAGCCCAAAAGGGGCTGAAAATTCTCCGCCACCCCATCACCCCTCTTCCACTCTTAAAAAAGGAATCAAAGCTGAAATTCTCCTCCACCCCATCCCCCCTCTTCCACTCTTAAAAAAGAACCAAAGCTGATCACTGTACCCAACCCACCTCCCTTCCCCTGCTAAAAGAGCCAATCTCCTCTCCCTAGGTAGCACCCCGTACTCGTACGTGGGGAGTACGTGTACGTACTCGAGAGTACATGTATGTGCTCAAAGAACCGGGTACGTGCCCATACTCCAAAAAAAAAAAAAAAAAAAAAAAAAAAAAAAAAAAAAAAAAAAAAAACTGAATAAAGTTCAATAAACTTATAAAAAAAACTTAAAAAAGCGTGTTACGCAGAATAAACAATACAAACAACTTTTGCCCGGCAGTCATGTCGATTTTTTTTAACTTTTATTTTTGTCAGTCATGTCGAAATTCCCAACCAGAGTCAAGTTAAAATTCAAAAAAAAAAAAACTAGTAAATTAATAAAATTAAAAATGATTAATAATTTAAAAAACTAGTACGTATTCCTGTACATGTACGCGCCACGTACGGGAGTACGAGTACGTACTCCAAGGAGCATACGTACTCCAACCCGCCTACACGTACGCGGTGCTACCCAGTCTCCTCTGTTCGGGTGAACGGGCAGAAATAGCCCTTCCACTCCACACTGAAAAGAAGAACCAACCCAGTCCATGTGGCTCAATGCTACACACATTTACCTGTTGATGATGAACAGATCATTAGTCTGAAATTGGAATCCAAACGGAATCATGAGTTGAGTTGCAATCCTAACTCCTCGCGATGAACGGATCATGAGTTCGAAGCCTGACGGAATCCAAACGAAATCTTAACGGAATCTTGAGAGTTGGAATACTAACGGATGTTTCTCCATCCCTGCTGGAAAGACCCCTGATCCTCATTCCTCTGATGAGATGCCTTCCCGTTAGAAAAGAAAGAACGGGAAATCAGCATATACATGGTAGTGAGATGCAGAGTACAGCAGATGGACAATAATGAGAAAAAGAAGAAAGACATCTCAGGCAACACCTCCTAAGCAGGCTTGTGCAAGATGCCCCTTTCCCACAACCGAGGCGTGTCTGAAAGAGAGCACAGAGTCGACGACTGAACATCGAAGGGCATACTCACACTAGGACTTTTTCAGCTCACCTCTGGCCGTGATTGCGGTCAGATACGTCCATCATCGGTCGTGATTGTGGCAAGATACATCGAGTGGGAGTTTGAGTAGTAGGCTCTAGGCTGTAATGAATGGGCTGGTCATCGAAGTTCTGGGAACGCACCTCGAAGTCTCTTTGCGATGTGTACACGTCAATGCTCTCTTGTATGTTGTTCGTCCAGTCGCGGAGATCATCAAGCCCTGTGGCATCCAGTTCAAAACAGTGGTCGCGAAAGTCATTTCCCAGCCGCATAAATGACATCAGAAAAAGAAAAAAAACATAAGACCGAGCGGAGCAACCTAGAGGCACTCCAGAACGCCCATAACTGGTATTAGAAGCTACCGGCAGTAAGAAGCAGGGGTGGAGCAGAGGTTAACCCTTCCTCTACAGGAAGCAATCAATGGCACTGACTCCAGGTCTTTCGTCCATCACCGAAGGAAGTGTCGAGTGAGTACTATTTGGACGATGAACCCAATTTTCAGCACATTAATGAAGTGTTCGTTTGGCGAAAAAAACAAACAAACAGGAAAACAAAAAGAAGATATCAAGTTACTAACATATGTCGGAAGCGATCGCAAGGTCAGGCAGAAAGGGAACAAAAAAAAAAAAAAAGCAAAAAAAAAAACGACAAGGACTTTGAAGGAGGAGCTCAGCAATGTAAGTTTGCAACTTTGCACATCTAACGACAGTCTTGATGGAGAATCAAACAACTTCAAAAGTACATCAATCGTGACATTCTTCGTTTTTTTAAATAATATAACAAAACTCAATGGTGACATTCTTCGCCCTTCATAATAACAGAACAGGCTATCATCACCTCTTTCGTCATGAGCTCAAGCGAAAATACCATTCCTATCTGAGCACTTTCCACCATGTCAGCGCTTTCCAAAAGAAATTGAGTACTAGATTTATCATTTCTGGCATTACATTATATAGTGGACTCCGTTCCTCAACCTTTGAGAACATTTATGGACAAAGGTTGTTGAGGTTCTTGAGACTGAATTTCGGGAATTACGTACGCCCCATAGATACAGATAATGTCTACCTGAGACTTTTCCAAATCAGACGATATATCTTGATTTAGACTGGCAATAGAAAGACAATTTTTTACTGCATAGTGTGCAAATTTCGTAAACATCATAGAGGACGAATGAAAGGGATTTCACTTTGTTTTTCCCTTCTTTATTATATATATATATATATCGTCATATATATATCGTCAATATATATCGTCAAATAGAACTGCCTGGTAAACCGTAGGCAGAGAGGGAGAAGAGGACAACAAACGAGGGGCTGTGACAAACTGTTTCGTCGGAGTTTCACCGACTCATCAGGAGGCTGAACCCTCAACAGTCTGCAGAATCCCCTCACTGATTACACTGTAAATGATAATCTACCTTAACCAAAATCAAAGTAGACTATCACTCACCCACACCAGATGGAAAACTCTCTCTCTCTATATATATATATAAAAATCGTCAAATAGAACTGCCCAGTAAACCGTAGGCAGAGAGGGAGAAGAGGACAACAAACGAGTTATATATATATCGGCAAACAGAGCTGCCTGGTAAACCGCATGCAGAGAGGAGAAGAGGACAACAAACGAGTGACGATACGTACATGGGTAGGTGTAAATACCGCTAGAAAACCGCTAGAAGAAGCTAATATCAATATAATAATAAGAATGCAGCGACATCACAGCTGGGCCAGACAGACAGCATGTGTTCCACTGAGGGCCAGGACACAGTTTAAACCACAAGTACACGGCTCCAGCCTTGCAGTCCGAAACTGGTCGCCACAAGAAAACGAGGCTGAAACGTCAAACGCTGGGCCCGCCATTGATAAATTCCATGGCTACGCCGGACCCGGACCCGGACGTTTCCAGACATGGAACCGGACCCGTGCCCGGTGGTTTCCGGATGTCCGGAATTCCGGAGATTTTCGGACATCCGGACATGGGGGAATCCGGACGGTCCGGATGTCTGAACAGGTCCGGAAATGTCTGGACCATTAAAAAAAAAAAAAAAAAAAAAAAAATCTGAAAAAAAAGTATGCTATGCAGAATATCAATGCAAACCAGTTTTGCCTCAGAGTCATGTCAGAATTCCTAACCAAACTTGAGTTACAAGTCAAACACTATAAAAAAGCTTTTAAAAAGACTTAAAAACTGATAAAAGGTAATGAATTATTAATAATTAAAAAATTGGGGTTGTCTAATAAATTATTATAGAGAGAGAGCATGTCTGGGCCCCCCCAAAAAGCATAAACCGGCCTGAAAAACCCCCAAAACAATTTTGGGGGCTTGGCTCCTCAATGGGGAAGGGTCCTGGACCGTTTTTTTTTTTTTTTTTTTTCTCGAATTTTGGCAGATCCGGACCTTCCAGACCGGACGTCTGCAGTCCGGACTGAATCCGGACCATCTGGACGGCCGTCCAGACGTCCGGATCGTAGCCATGATAAATTCGATCGGCGGCCTGGTTTCCGTTTCGCGCCTCCAGAATTTGCGGTGTCAGACCCGCGGCCCAGGTGCCCATGTACTGGTGCTCTAAAGTTGAAACCAATTGCTCAGTATGCTTGCTATCATACTATGCCTTCTTTTTTTTTTTTTTTTTTTTTTTTTTTGGTAATGGACCCTGTCTCGATTTATGCGTGTCATCGTTGCGCAGGGGTCATGCGAATCTTCTCTGTATCGTTCCAATTTAAACGGATGTCCCGAAGGACAGTATGCCTCTTGTGTGTACACTACAGAAACCTTAGTTACCTCCAATTGCGTCGGCATGCGAGTGGGTGATGATTACTGCATCCAGCTCCCGAACACTGCATGGTATTAATATCCATATAAACAAGAATTGAAAATCAATATTAATGATTAATCTCAATAAATAAAATAAAATAATCAAATACAATTTGTAATATTTTTGTATAGAATATTTCTATATTGTTAAAACTTAAAATGTATTTTTTTTAATTTTTTTATATTTTGATTTTTATAAGATACAATGTGCACTGCATGGCGAAGAGAAAACTGACAGGAAGGACAGAGAGGAAAAGACAAATGCATATGAATTTGGGAAACATGCAAAGCCATCTGCACAACACTAGGATTTTCTTCACAGAATCTGGATGAAATTGCAGCCAGAAACATCTACGAACGTCCTAGCATAAGCCCTAAACCGCAACAAGGAGTCCACGGAGCTGACAGAGTTGTCAGAAGCTAGAAGAGGGAAGAGGAGAAAAGAATAAAGATTTGACAGGTAATTGAATTGGTTGGGCATAAGGAATCACTAATTAGCCTCTTTTTTTTTTTTTTTAAGAAAAGAACGAAGTGAATATCCCTAACTGAGCCTCCTGCATTGTCAGGATCACCACCATGGAAGACAACCACGTGCCTAAAAGAAGGGAGGGAGGGAGGGAGGGAGGAAGAAAAGACGGTAGGGAGAAGAGAGGGAGCGAAGGACGGGAAAGAGAGAGGGGAACAAGAGCGGGGCAAGGGAGGGCAGTCAGGCAGGAAGTGGGAGGGAGGGAGGAAGAGAGAAAGAGGGAAGACAGTGAGGTAGGAGAGCAGGGATGTGAAGAAGAAAAGGCATTGGACATTAAACGGCACGGTTCTACGCCAGAACACCATGGATCAGCCAGCGCGTTCCTGAGGACAAGTCATAGGAAGCAGGAGAACGAAATGGTGAAAGGCAATAGCAAAATAAGGAGAAGAGCTGAAGATGGAGCAAAGCAGGTGCAGGGCCACATCTTCGAATGGATCATCGAATAAGGGACTGGCAGGCAAAAGGAACTCATTCGATGTCATTAGCCCACTGAACGTTGGTGTGCTCACTGTGCTGGTTCAATTCACCATGACTACCAAAGACACAGAAGGAATGGTCGCACTAGCGATAGCAGCAAGCATTCATTGTACTTTGTCAACAGTTCGTCGGGTGACGAATGACGGAAATAAAAGCAAGGAATAATGAATGTAATACGACTTCAGTTGCTGGGGATGAGGCAGGGCAAAAGATGGTGATGAAATCAATGGCACCCCGGAGGGCGACCAAGGAGGAGCAATCAACGAACAAACGTCGATAAAAACATATCAAACCTCAGCGGAATAACACCATCTTCATCATAATGTACTCGTCAACACCAACGTAAGCCAGTAGGGTAGCCTGGGACCGACAAATGGAGCTCCAACTCACAGATGTTGAGCAGAGAATACCCACCTCTAAACACCCATCCACAGCCAGCAGATGAAAAGGACAGAACCCAGTAGCATAGAGATAGGCAAAAAGAAGTACGACGTTCACCAAACAACTCTCTCTCTCTCTCTCTCTCTCTCTCTCTCTCTCTCTCTCTCTCTCTCTCTCACACACACACACACACACACACACACACACACACAACAGGGCACAAGAAGGTGGGAGCTGTAAGAGGGAAAGGAGGAAAAACAGGGAAGCACCGCTGCTCAGCAAGTCGGCAAGACAAATACAAGACTGACTGATCTGGTGACGGGCATCTACTACTGTACAGAAGGAACACCTTCCATCCGGATGTCAACCAAGCATGCATGTTGCATACTCGTGAAACACAGTCATAAGTATGTCGCAGCTTCCCAGAACCGACCAGATAATACAGAGTACATACAAATACAGCGGAAGACTTGAGATACGTGGATTGACTCAGACCTGACTCAGACGGCAACGAAACACTCACAAACATACATCGGTGGTGGGAAGGCCCTGGCCTTGAACATGGAAGAAGAGGCCAGGGACTGATCTCATACACAGATGAATGGGGGGAAGGAGAGACGAAGGGAGGAGGAGAGGGAAGATGACGTCAACTCAATGTTTCCGAAAATAGTATCTCGAAACGTCAGAAGTAGCGAAATCTGAAAGGTCGCGAACACAGAGTCTCACGGTGTCTCAGATATCGATCTCACAATGTCAAGATACATCTCCAGAGGTAGCAGAAATCGGATCCCGTAAGTAGTCCTCAGCCTGCAGTCTCAATGTTGCTATCTCCCATATTGTCAGAGCTCGTAACCATCCTTCATAGTCGTAGTAGTCTGGTAGGAGTAACCCGAGAGTAGACTTGGACTCAGAGGGTAAGGGGAAGAGCGAGAGAGAGAGAGAGAGGAGAGCGGAGGAGGAAGAAGAGGGAGGAAAGGCGAGGCCTTTCTCCCTGGTACCTGGCGCTGCAGATATGGCGCGGCAGGGCTGGGCGCTGGACCGCGGGCTGGGCCGGAGGGCCGGCGCTACTCCTGCTGCGCTGCTTCTCCCCACTGCTGTGCTAATCTCTCTCTTGCTCCGCGCTTCCCAACACTGAAATGCTGCGCTAATCTGTAGACTAACTCGTAGCCTAACCTCCAGACCAATTGTAGACTAACCTACTCGACTGAGGCTGGTACCCAGCTTATATAGTGCTGGGTCGGCCTCAGTCCTGCTGAGTGCCTTCGGGTCTGGACCGTTGATCGGGCCCAACAGTTCAGATCCGATTTCAAAATCTGAAACAGTGGCGCCTAAACTGCGCCGCCGGCCGGTCCTACCGATGGACCGGTACCTGGCCTAACCAACTAGCCATTGGGTCTGGTGGGGTCTAAACAAGGCCTACCGGACACTAGACTGAACCGACGGTTCCTAGGCCTACCTGGACCTAGCTGGGACCGTTGTGACCCGGTACCTAGGCCTAAACCGTGCCTACTACAGAACCGGGCCCTAACTGGGGCCCGTGTGGTATCAGTATGCCACAATGCATCTAGTCCGGCATCAAGAAGCTATTGCTGCTCCACAAAATGGGAAATGGGAAATGGGCAACGGCAACAGTCCTTATGCCCAAGCCTGCAGGTCACTACCAAGCCCACAACTATCCGCCGAAACCACCCCCATCCCCTAGCACGTATCATTAACCTTCGTCTTGCAAGCATTGCACATGGAGCAGCTATGGCCACAATAGTATAGTCAGCGCACAGGACGCGAGACCAGGTTTCCAGCAGCTTCTCCCCCCCAACCAGTTTTGACTCTGGGGCCTCCCCGGGCCTGCTATTGGGGGCTGCTCATACCACCGCCAGCAGTAGACCCTGAGGCGAAAATTCCAAAAAAAGACAAAAAGAGGGCACAGCAGGTCCACCTCGCCCACCTGCTATTGCGTGCCTTGAGAGAGCAGGGCAATGACTGCCCCTGTAATGCACTGCAAGTTGTTTAGCATGCCTTGGAATCACGCTGTATTTGTCCGGACACCGTTTCAATCCGCGGGGGGAAAGAACTTAGAAGTTAGACCTGCTTTGCTTTCGGGGATCGTCTCGAAACGAGCACGTTCGCACAGCATGCACAGAGACAAAAAACGACAAAAGAGCACTCGAGAACAACTGCGTGACAAGTTGACAACAACACTTCATTGATTGCAAACGCATGCGCGTCAACGCTGAAAAACAAGAGGTAAGTGTCGCATACCGTAAAGGTACAGGCCAGAACAAGAACCGACCTCGCTCACATAGTACAAGATAGCGCAGCGGAAGGCTAAAATACCAATGATCCGACCAATCAATGTCGCAATGCAGACCAAACATACATCATCATCATTCCATGGTGTGAAGGGGCCTGGCGCTCACACAGGAAGAATGTGCAAGTCCCCAACCATACACAGACGAAGAAGAGGGGGGCTAGACGAAGACGAGGGGGAAGATGGGAAAGTCATTAACACCAAGTCTTCGGTATAGGTCCCAAATAATCCCTCGTCCAGTGTCTCCATCCCAATGTCGAGTCTGGATCCAAATGTCGGCAAGTCCCAAAGTCACCAATCTCTCTCTCTCTCTCTCTCTCTCTCGTAGTCTGCAGATACTGAGAAGTCAGGTAGCGAGAGGGTGAGGGAGAGATGGTGGACTTAGAAGAGAAAGAAGAAGAACTCTCTCCCTCTCTCTCATGGTCCAGTACTAACCTGTGAAGGTGGCGCCTTGTTGCAGGTACATCGAAGACGAAGCTGGAGCTATGGCGCCACAGGTAAGTCTCCCTGGCCTCCGCCAACCCTCTCTCTCTCCCCAACACTACTCTAGCTCCTAATAGCGCCCAGCATTGAAGACGACTCCTAACGCTACTACTACTACTGCAGCGCTCCTCCAGAGTGCTGCTGCCGAATCCTGAAGACTGCCTCCTGCCTCCTGCCTCCTGCACGTGAAGTGCCCGTGAGCTGCCTGGGAAGTCCCTAGGAACTACCTGCAGCTTGCAGGGCGGGCCAGTTCTATATAGTGCTGGCCCGTCCGGGAGGCTGCTCTTGCCAATGCCGAAACATGCCAGACCCTAACGTTGAAGTTCAAACAAAGGTTGTCTTGAAACAGGCCCAAAAATGGCCTGTACTAAACCCTGGTCTGGCGCCTGAGTTTCAGGGCAGATCGACTTTATGAGGGCCTGCAAATGGCCCTCGTTTTCAGGCTTTCAGGCTGAAACGACACAGGGCCTGTAGGGCCCTGAGTTTCCGTCTGGTCGGGCCCTGCAGGCCCGTGTGGCTGCGCAGTATGCCACTTAAGACTAGAAAGCACGAGGTGAGACGAAAGGACAAAGGCATAAGACATAAGACATAAGGGAATATCATTTAATGCACAAAGTGGGATGACATAAAACACACAGTTCTTTCAAAACAGCAAAAAAAAAAGGGAAAAGTGTGTGCCCCACTGCCCCTGCAATTGTGTGGGGGCAGTTGACGCAACTTCTCACCTCCACCGTGCGACTTAGGGGATACTCGACACTAGGGCTTTTGTAACGCGATCATCTGATCCAGCTCACATGCATCCAAGTCCTAGCATTAGGATTATGCCTTTTAAAGTGTGAACACGAGATAAGAGAGACAACTTTTTGAAAAGAGCAGCGGGTTCAACAGACAGAAGAGACAGGCTAAGCTCAGACAGCAGCTTACCCAAAGTAAGGAAACCATTGGAGTGCACTGTGGTAGAAAAACCTGCACAGATGCAGACATAAGACAACAGAGAAGGGACTAACAGGATTTATCAAACACATAAAACTTCTATTAAAACTCTGTATACATACACACTACCAACAAGGCTAGCTCAGTTGGTAAGCCCATGAACTGGTTGCTCAAGTACAGACCTGAGTTCAAATCCAAATGAACCATACTTGCAAGCGCACGCCGTGTGGGTGGTTCCCGACGTGCGGCGCATGCGCCCAACCGATCCCGTGCGGCGCACGGCGTCTGCGGGGAATGACCTGTCACCCCCCTCAGAAGAAAAAAAAATGAAGGCCGGGGTTGAAACGGTGCGTTTGAGGCCCCCCGCCAAAATTATTAGCGGGATGAAAAAAAAAATTACAGGAGTGCTGCCTCACCTTGCTCCTCCTCCCCTTCCTCATCCTCCATGTCTCCTCCTCCCTTCTCCTTTTCGTCTCCTCCGACTCGTCCTCCTCCTGTTCGTCCTCCTCCTCCTGCCCTTCCTCCTCCTTGTCTCCTCCTCCTCCTCGTACTTATCTTCCATGCCTCCTCGTCTCCTTCCCTTCCTCGTGTCCTCCCCTTCCTCGCCGTCCATGTCTCCTCCTCCTCCCACTCGTCCTCCTCCTCCTTCCCTTCCTCTTTTCCCTCTGTCCATCTCTTCTCGTCCCCCATCTCGACGACTCCTCATCGTCGTCCTCCTCGTCCACATCCTCCTCCTCCTTGTCCACATCCTTCTCCTCCTCTCCATATCCCCCTCTCCTCGCCATATCCCCATCTTCCTGTCATACAGCCCCCCGTCCCCCCTCCCAAAAAAAGATAAAATAATAATAATAAAAATAAAAAACCTGCACGATTCCGCACAGGCCCCCCCGCACGGACCTCCGGACGAATGTGCGGCTCATGCGGTTGCAAGTATGAAATGAACTAGATGAATGAAATCCAACAATTCTGAATTACGCGGGGCCAGTCAGTTCTACAATGATATTTCAAGGCTGATGCCCTTTTTCAGAAAACAGACGAAGAAAAAAAGAGAAAGAAAAGTTAAAACAAGCACTTTGCCACAACTCCATCCTAATCATTGTTGCGATGGAAGAGTTGCGCACGATTTTTTTATTATTTTTTTGGAGTTCGGGAATGAATGATATAAAGAGGTATTTTTTCAGATGATGCATGCAGCACCAACGGACCACTTCGTGTTTGCAACTCTTTTTGATGCAACTCACTGTGCCCAACCTGTCAATGTGAGCACTAAGCAATGCATCTATGTTATACCCTTTCTCTCCCACGAGATCAGTTGGTAGATGTAGCATATCAGAAAGTGAAATGCACTGAAAGCCTAGGATCTAGCAATGACGAAAGTGGCAACAACCAGCAGCATAGGTGCAACATTCACAAGGTGTCAA